AGTTTGAAGAGTCGTCGATCGAGATGAAGGGCCAGTGAAGGTGAAGGACGCAGTATCAAAAAGGAGAACCTCCGAAGTAGATGTCGAAGTCGAGGACAAGGACGATGAGGACTCCGTCTCAATTATGAGTCGAGCATTTTCTGGGGTATCCTTAGGCGCCTTTTGAGTTGTTGGTTGAACAGGCGTCGTTACGGGGTCTGGTCCATCGATCAATCGGGCATCCTGTGGTGTCTCCTGAGGTGCTGGCTGCGTCGTTGGCTGGACGGGTGTTGTCACGGGATCCGGGCCGTCTATCAATCGGGCATCTTCTGGTGTCTCTTTGGGCAGCTCTTCGGTAGTTGGCTGCACAGGTGTCGTTACCGGGTCAGGGCCATCAGTCACTGGAGGTTCTTGGGGCGTTTCCTGTGGGGGTGGTTGAGAAGTTGGCTGAGCAATCGGTTCGATGGGAACTGTCGTCGCGTTCAGGTTTGCGTCACTGGTCTCAGGTGCTGCCTCTCCTCCAGCTGCAGGTACAGTGGTTGGAACAGGCTCGATCTCTTGGGTTGTAGGTACAATCAATGATGCAAACACCGGGGTATCTACTGCAGGATCCGCGGCGGGAACAGACGTCAGGTCTGCAGCAGGCGCGGTTGAAGCGGGTGGCAATTCAACACTGTCAGTGTTCTCTGTAGCGTTGGCTGGAACATGGTATGTGACCACGACGGTGGTAGGCTCGGGGATGACAACATAATGAGATTCCATCTTCGTCTTGGTGATCACCACCGGTGCTCGTTCTTCGAGCGAGTTCGTATTGTTGGTATCGATTTCTCGTGGTATGCCGGCATACTGTCTTCCGAATAAAAAGTTGAACAAAACCCGTGTTCGGAGGGCTAACATCCTCGACCAGAAACCTTCGCGATGCCAGTCGCTGTTAGTGAGACCTGGAGTCGGAGCCTGGCCCAACCGTGAACAGAGGTAAAAAGTTTGATAAATGAGCAAAAGCTTAACATAGGGCCCCTGTGGCCATCTACTTTTTGGCAATATGCATGTAGATGGATGACCCAGTCACCTTGCAAATATAATGAAGGTAAGAGAATGTAGATATCACGGCCAAACACTGTGATGAGAAACGAGAATGAGTGAATAAAGGTACGACAAGAGAATGTAGAGGGCGCAAAACAAGGAAAGACACCAAGAGAAACAGAAACAGAGAAGGAAAGGAAGACAAGACAGAAAGTGTGAGAGAGAATGAAACGACAATATGGTTGCCCCGAGTGGGAGGGTGGTCAACCTAACGTTAAGGTACCGAACCGACCTACCTTGACTCCCTTTACTAGCGTTTTAGCTGATTCCAGATATAACTGACATTGTACATCAGTTCAAGTACGGTAGACATGGGTTCGTCGTAGCTAGGAGCAATACCCTGTCCTGCGACAGATCTGAAGCACGACAGCCTCCCCACGCTGTCTGAGCTTCCCTACCTACCTGACTAGTCAGGTCCTACCGTCCGTACTAGTATTCGAGGACCAAACAGAGGATCCGATGTGAGCAACATAAACAAGGTTGGTATCCCAGACTTCTGGGACGCCTTGGCTCTCTTGGCTTGCGTGGCCTTGTGTGATGTTTGCATTTTCGTTTGTCACGAGGTTCTAGGCGGGTGTTTCCCCGTCTGGATGACATCCGAGCTCTAAGTAAAGTGGAAGTTGGTCGGATTAATTAGAAGGATGTCACCCACATCTGGCATCCTTCCTTTTTTTTTTTTTCTTTTTTTTTTTTCTTCTTTTGTTTCTGTTTCTTGAATGCTGTAATGCCTTAATTAAAACCGGGCTCGGCAACGTGGGCGGTATCGCCTCGCGATGGTGTTGATCAGTTGATGCATACCCGGCGTATAATACACAGAATGTTGTTGATGGAAAAAAAAAGCCCCGAAGCGAATTTAGGTGAGTGAGCCTCAGCAAGGAGATGAATTTCAGGTGGGGGTTGATCCACGGGAGTCTGGTCTGGTCAATCATCTTGGCAGGAGCAGTTAGTGATTCTGGTTAGCGCCCGAGCGCTACTAATACATACCTGTACCTAGCCACCTGAGACACCTGAACATCCACCACCGTTTCTCCCTGTGGCCCTGCCCGTTGTGGCCCTTCCCGCCAGCAAACGCGCCGAGCCCGGTACATTACACCTAAAAGTTAGCCAAAGACCCCGCTGCTAGAACGTGGAAGACAAGGCACGGCAAAATATCCCACGAAACAAAGCTCACTCTAGAACAAAATGACAGACAGCCTGGAAATTTCGTCCTCCTGAGAATTGTTTGGCTAGGAACTAATGAACGAACGTGCATAGTACCTGCATAACGTACCTGAAATGTGTCTCCTTTAGGATGAGGCCGGCATTAGTTCGAAAGTAATAACAGACGGCATATTTATCACCACCACCACTACACACACAAACAACTCCTCAATACCATCACATACACAGGAAACCAAACAAATCAGCCCAACAGCTCAGCATAAGGAAACACAACATGGTTAAATCGCCAGATAAATTAGGCTGTTGGGAAGAAAACAGCTGGTTCAATCCTTCTTCATGCACTATCGATCCCATATGTGCCATCTAAACATTTCAAACCTCCTCTTCAAACCTCCTCTCTCAATATCCTTGCTTGGATCAGTTCATCCGCTCAGGCATCCCTTGACTTACCGCTCCTAGACCCATGTTCCGGGCCACAACCGCCCACATCCCTGTCGTCCTTCGCCTCGAGCCTGACTCGGACTGTCACCGTTTCTCGTACCTAAAATCTGTCTGTGCCTCTTTGTTAGCGACGCCTTTCGATTACCGAAACAGAATATCTGTCCGTAATGGCAGGTCCCGCTGAGTAACCAGCATGGGACGGAATAAAGCTGATGGCGTGCGAAGACGCTAGAGCTTTTGATACCGTAACCTTAAACTTGCTGATCATCCTTCATTCCTGGGTTGGTCTTGAGAAAGACTATGCGAGCTTTACCATTCTATTGGGAGTTTACCAGGTTGTCGGGTAAGCTGTTGAGACGAATGGGACTGTTAACGAGAGTTTCAGTGTAAACACAACCCCAAGAGTTCCATAAAACTCCTGTATGCTTATTTTATGAGATTAGACGCTGATTTAAGGATGTCATGAAACATTAAGGTTGAGCTTATGATTTGACTTAACTGATACTACTTTTAAATAATACACAGTTAAAGCTTCATGCGATTCTTTGGGATGAGAACTTCATCTAGTTATGTGAGTGCGGGAAAGGTTGAAAGAAGACCTTCTTAATCTCTTTTTGACATTAAACATATATAGTCCCAAATCCTCTCAAGTCTCAACAGGTTTACTATTATTGACAAATCACTATTTCTGGTTTCCAAGTTCCTAAAGGGAGTATAAAGAAACCTTTCTTAACTACTCCTATTGAGTGCTGTTCTGAAACCCAACTTTGAGATGAAGATCGAGTGAGTGGTCCTATTTTCTTGTCTTGTATTCCGTATCTCGTAACCCTCTGTTTGATTGGAGATAACAGAGGACATTAGGTCTTTCTCATACATTCATAAGAGCCAAGATTCTCATGATCGTCTTGTTTCCGATCAAAACCCGGGGCATGAAAGGGCTCGCCACACGTCAGTTATGTTGCTCAGGATGACAAGAGTACATAATCCGGGGCCAAGCATGTGCCAGGCACTCAGACATATATTCTCAACGTTACCAAGAAATTCCTGCAGACAATACCTGGCTGGGATGTAGAACTCATGTCAGGGAACGCGATGAATTAGTCAGTTATGTGTATGGTCTAGGGTATGTTGATTCATCGTGGGATTCTCTCTCAAGTTTTTAGAACGACTTTTGCGAGCATTGAATGAGTTAGTGAAGAAGTTCAATGCAGCAGAGAGATGGTTGCTTCTCTCACAGCCCCATACTAAAGGCATTAGACTCTAATGTTTCTCGTTGGCTAAGAAGAAATTGAGGTTATATGGACGTACCCTATAACAGAAATCTTTATATTATTTCGTTGGATCTGGTCATAAACAAAGTATGTAGGGTTTGTGGCACCCAGAGAATTCAAGCACTTCCATTGGCGTTCTCTGACCAGATTAGGAAGTGACATGAAACAACTTCTAGGAAGCTCACTAGCCCTCATCGTATTTCTCAAACATCCATTACCAATGAGAACCGACAGTTTTTGCATGAAGCATGAATTCACATGGTGATGCATTGAAGACATTCAACAGCTGACCAATCGCGGAAATAGGTGTCCATTTGCCGGGTAAAGGCGGTGGTGGCTTCGCTTCAGGCACCACCGACTCACTCATATCATGGATGGATGGATCCATTCGCTCACTCAGGAACATTGACATGACCTCCTACCTACCTAAACAAGACAACTGATATACTCTTCTCATATCGCTTCAGCAGGAGATAATAAATCTCTCAGGAGACAGAGCCTATGGTTGGCTCTCTTGTTAGGTATTGAAATAACCCCGCGGCTGCTCCCGTATGGGCCGAGCCGATCTTGGCACTGACCAATACCTCAACTCAACCTCAGTCACCGAAACTTTTGAGGCTTCATCTTTCAATGCACTTTGTCCTTACCACGCCAGAGGCCCAATTCTATTGTCTGGTCAAGTCTCCTTTAACATACTCTTGTCTAATTGTCCGTTTCATAGCTATTGGCTAGTGCATTCACTTTTGGATCTGTCTTGAAAAGTCTTGTCATTTATAGTTATTCTTCATCAGTTCATCATCTCCATCAACCTCTCTCCATCGACAGCCAAGCTGTCTTGAGGCCCTCAGTCAGCTTCTGCACATCTCAAGCCACTTTCCATCACCAACCAACATCTAGTTATTGTATGTGCCCTGTGCTATGTCACACCTTGCTGGACCAAAGCTGACGTCGTCTTCTCTTTAGCATAGCATACCATAGCATAGCTAGCATCCATCCATAGCCTAAGCATTCTGTCCTCCGGTACCTTACATTGTTAGTTGCGCCACTACAAGCGCTTCAGCTGCCATGTTTGGAAACTTCACCTCCTTCGGTAAGCTAGTCTTCTCTTCAACCGCCTCTCCTCACACTTGAACCTCATTCTCCCCTACCCATTGTGATACTCATGAATGTCTGATGCTCACAAAACACCTCATTGACCCCCTCACTTCATTTCCCTGTCTATCTCGCCTGCCCCTCCCCCACAATTCTCTTACCTTGCGACCTACCTCTCCACCTTGATAGACCCTGGCTAAACTTTGTCTTCTTCAGCCGGCATTCCGGCCAAGAGCAAGGTTGATCCTAAGGACGTACCGCCTCCTACGCCGGTTACTCTTCCTCGCTTTCAACCTTTCGCTCAAGACGATGATACCATCGATGAATCGTCTGCGCTATCTACTCTTCTTCGTAACACCGGAAGATCAACTGCTGCTCTCGGTCCTTCGGGTTTCTCTGCCATTGGTCTTAACTTGAACCTTGATTCCAAGCCTACGGACCTGATTCCCGATACTTCATTCATCCCGGATTTCGATAGTTGGGACAAACTGTCGCCAGATGAAGCCCAGGAGAAGAATCAGTCCACCCGGAAACCCTTGAGAAATGGCAACCTCTCTCCTGGCTGCCATGTGTACCTCGAACGCAAGAAGGAATTGTCGAATGTCAATGAAGACGCGTTTCGAACCGTCAGAAGGCTACCAGCCCCCAAGGGAAGGACACAGGCTCGTTTAGGGAATGCCTATGAGTTTTTCCGTTGCCTTGAAGCCTTTACCTCTTTCTGGGATGACCCTACTCAGCCGTTACCGCTTCCTCAATCCCCTGAAGCTTCTCCCGAAGTTACTTCATCCGGCGATGCCGCGAACTCAGGGGACGCAAAACCTGCTAGCCCCAAGCCAGATGAGAGCGCAAACTTCTTTAGAACCAGCGCTGGATCATCTATGCCACTTGAATATCGCAATAACCTGATAACAGCATTCATCAAACTTGTTGCTTATGACTTTGGGTGTAACGTCTCGCCTTCTCGAACCGAACCACGACTTCACTTCAGCTCACCCCAAGGATCTGGTTCTCGCAAATCTTTTTGCCCCTCTGGCTGCCTTTTTATATTTCAAAGTCCCACAACCCGTGAAGCCGCTCGTGCAGGTGTGGTCCAGGGGCCCGTCGCCGCCGTCAGTGCCAGAGGTACAACTGACTTCACTCAGCCTGATCCTGAGACTGCACAATCACTCGACCTCGCTCGAGAGATCGTAGCAGCTCTTATTACAGCACAGCATCGCGCACGTGAAGGAAAGACTGAAAAGCGATTTGGTGAGGGAGAATGGTGGACGACCAAGAAGCGCTGGGGAGGTGGTCCTGGGGGGCCCATAGGACGCGAGATCGAAAAGGACCTGGTACAAGGCGACAAGGACGCGAAGCCCAGTGACGAGAACGGTCTTCCGATGCCACTTGCTAAGAAGCCTCGCAAAAACATGAGTATCTACGACAACTATCGCATGATTCGACCTCCATCGTCGACTTGGGACAAGAAGGCTCAATACGAAGCCATTGGAAGGCGCAAGGGAGCCGACTACGACGATATCTTTGTAGTGAGCTCGTTGTTTCACCATATCTCAATCCTCCGTGTCAGAGTACCTAATCGGCTGCTTGAGGCTCTGGAAGGGGCACGGGAGCCAGATGCATCCAGGCGTAGCTGGGGGAAGGTTGAGGCTTGGAGGAGCCCCTGGTACGATCTATTTGACACCACACAACGACTAGCAGCTATGAAAATAGTGTGGGGGATGATGGCTTACCAGATGAGAAAAGATGATGTGTCTGATGGGGACGTTGATATGACCAATGCTTAAGCTTATTTTGAAGTGGGCCATGGGCTTGGAGGAAACCCGATTCTTGCTTGCATTAGTATATTGGATCTCAGCGTGAGAAGTCAGCGCAAGGCCTAGGAAAGACTAAGATGGCATAGTTGCCTGGTTGGTTGATTACATGTATACATAGGGTATCCATACATAACATACATTAGCCAGGGTCACATTCCCATCACCGTTTCTGATTAGCTTGGCTTTTTCTATCAATGAGATACCCTTGAGGAGGAGGGTTACAATGAGGCGGCAGCTGAGACCGGGCCTTCTATCACCTGCAGAAGTTGCATGGATTTATCTGGTAAGTAACTCTGGTTGGGATTCACTTGCAGTCGTTGTCACGCCATCAGGGATTCGAGCAATGAGGGCTGGACTATAAGTCTCATGATGTTGGTACAAAGTCATGCATGATGCAACACACAGATTCCATGAACCATATGCTCGTGTCTAGAACATTGACTCAAGGAACATCAAAACGGGTGCATGGGTATCGACCTTGCCGTCGGGTTTCTTGGAGTTGGCATGAGAGGACATGGCATGGTGTTTCTGCAGGGTAGAGAGAGATAAGGGGACTTGAGACATGTCGAGCATGCCACGATACAGATCGAAGCTGAGGGAGACACGGAGCATGACTTCCTGTAGCGTTCCATATCAACGGGTGAGCTAGTTAAAGAAATCACCCCATGTTGTCTTAGATATCAAGCGAATGTGGATATGTGTTGGTGTTTGTGGCTGCATGGGAAGGCTGAAGCTATCTTGTTTGGGACGGAAACCCGCGTGGCATAGTCGGGTCTAGTGACGGAGGACGTTTCTCGTCTGGCATTGAATCTCGGGAGGCTTGTCACTCTGGCTTTTGGGCTCTGAGGCTTTTAGTTTGAGGCTGCCGGACATGATACGGAAAAGAGGAGGATGTGGTGGTTGAGTATGTGATATGAGTGCGTATAGTTCTTAGGAGAACTCCGAGAACTATGTCATAGTTCAGGTAGATACATGTATGCATGTGCTTGTGTTGCAGTAATTGGAGTACTGTACCGACAACTTGAATGACACGTCGATAGTGCAAGAAGATTATCGTCATCAAATCAGGCCCAGCATAATGGCAACCTAACGATATCCAATCCTCCCAAAAGCTGAGGCCCTCATCACAGCCACCAGAATGCAACTGAACAAGACCCTAAAAGCCGTTCATCCAAATGGCCCAAGCTCCTCAAGCCTCAATTCCCCGCTCAGCTCCAGGCGGCTGAGCAGAAACGTCCGTCATTGGCCCACTCAGCCCTGGTTCAGCTCTCGGTATGTCCGTCTGCTAAACCGTTACGGGATGATCTTCGTGCCATAGACGGGGAAGCTATCGGGTAATTTCAGACTTTTTTTTCTTCTGCTTCTTTCTTTTGTTCGAGGTGCATCATCGTGGATTTGTTGTCTTTCCCTTGCTTTGATGATTAGGATGGCCCCTGTTTTGCTGTATGTATGACTTGTATCGTTTTGTTGTGTTTGGTGGAAGATATGATGGCTTCGGACATGGCTGAATATCATTATTTCTTGACCGTTACTTCTTTGATCGAATGTAAGATCTCTCACAAGCACATGATAAAGTGCTTATAGAGTGGTTCAGTCTATTGATGCAGTTGCTCACTTGACGTTTAAAGAACCCCTGCTCCGGGCCTGCATCGGTGATCGCCGTTGCACCGGCCTCGGGAAACGGGTTGCGGAACGCCGCCTCAGCCTGACAGGGGCCGAATCTTAGAGTCCGGTCTTTGTGACGTTTGAACTCTTTTGGCATCTCGAGATATTAATTGGCCAACATCCAAAATTACAGATTCAGCGCGCCTAGGAACTCAATCTCAGGGTAATAGACAGGTGAACATGGGGGGCGTAGATCATTGTTAGACACACGTTCTACCCTAAAGTAGATCACGTTTTTGATACTCATTATGAATATGGCGTTTTGTCCGATATCACATACTCGCCTGTGGTTCCCTGAGGTGACATTTGGAACGTCTCAGTGAAAACGTTGGTTTTGACGGAGACTCAAAGCCACGATAGCGGAGATATGTCGCAGATTGGTGTTTGGTTCAGTGATGGAAGGGTATTTCACTCATGGCGTAGGTCTCGACTATGAAGAACATTGTGCCACCAACAGATAAAATAGCATGTAACACTGGTGAATTGACAAAAGCAAAAGAGCCGCAATCGTGTAAATTACAGTGGCTGGTAATTCATACCAGGCAACGGATAAGGCAAGGTAGTCATGAACTGTTATTACATGGGCCAAGAAACACCACGACACGTAACGAGGGACTTGGCTGATGTCCGATGAGACGACAAACAGGGCATTAAGGGCATGACAGGACCAGAGCCCAGACAGAGATTCGGCATTTTGAAGCCGGGGCCCAGTCGGTCGGGTCGGAAACTAGTACTGTAGTGTATGAGATCCCTGCAGAAGCACAGCCTGAATTGATCAAGAAGGAACCTTTAGATAGAACAAGTATCAATGACGATGCGGACAGAGTGGTAGTTCTGAGATAGGCAGTCCAAAGAGAACAGAAAGAGAATGGTAAAGGCAGTGTAAGGAGTATTTCCCAAATAGAGACGGTGTGATGTGAAGTATTGCCAAGTCGGACGCATCTCGTGCTGTAGCGCAGTCGAACATCTCCGTAGTGGTCGTTGAGCTAACACCAGCGATTTCCATTGTCGGTCATGTTTCCCCTTTGGGCCTCTTCTGGCGCTGAGCCTCCATTACCGAGCTGTCAAGACAACAAAAGTTGCATCACAGGACATGAGAGCTAGCAATAGCTTCATAGACATAGACATAGTCAAGTTACACTAAAGTTAGTTGAATCTATTCTCAGAGTTTGAATATACGATTTAAGTAGATGCTATATCCCCTCAACTATTATTGCTCTTCTTCAGCTTCAGGTTCTATCCCCTCTCACTGGTTGCACTATTGAAGGGGTCCTGTCTAAACTTCCCCCCCCACATCACGGCCCTACGATACCCCCAGAAAGTTCCAGTCCCTTAAACACGGCATTTCTCAGCAACGACCATTAATCGATCAATCGTCTCAGACTCAGAGGCAAAATACCCATTATAGGCGCAACTGCCGCGATTGTCTAAAACATAAACCAGGGCATCAATCATCAATTGCCCTGATCGGCCGCTGTATAATCATCTTATCTCTACACCCTACACACCCTCCCCTGTCCTAGACCACCAAGCTTGTGAGACCTTGACCTTGAACCTCTCATTGCTTTGTTGCTGCTCTCATCTACGATTTTTATTTCCTTTCTTCTTCCTAAGCGCTTGACTGGTTTATATCATCTCGTCCCCCACCGCCCAATATCAGACAAGATCATACCGACATCTTCTCTTCTCCTCAGCTCTTCTCTTACTTTGAACGTGTTCCCCCGCCTTCAGCTTTCAAAGACCAAACGCCCCGTGCACACAGCTACCTACGCTGCTTTCAGCTTTGGGACCAATCCAATCGAAGAACTATCCAATCCCGACCCCCGGCCTTAGAGAACCCTTAGATCAATCAATCAATCAAAGTCAAGTACTTGAGCGAACGAGCGTAAAGAACGAACGCCTTCTTCTCGCCTCTTTTTTTGCCCCGCGTGAGCATCGCATCAGCATCAGCATTCATCAGCACAGCATCTATCAGCAGCATTGGTCCATACTCTTCAGCACTTGACCGTCCCACGCGCTTTTACTACAGTACATCGTCATCGCGCCCAGCTTCGCCCCGGAACTAGGTGCATTTTTACATGCGCTATCCTGTCTGATCTGTCTTGGCGCCGAGCCCGAGTTTCCCAGACCCAGCCCAGCCAGGCTTGTTCTCTTCTTCATCTTTTCTTACCTGCATTTCTCTCGACCGACCCGACATCTTTCCCCCAACATCATCAGCAAATTCCCGATACGACCGATATACTGAGCCGCTGCTCTACCTAACAACTTAAACACCAAACAACACCGAAACCGCCCCGTCATGTCGGGATATCCGGGTTACAATTCTGGCCGCTACGGCCCGCCGCAACCCCAATACCATCAGCAGCCTCAGGGCAATTATTACCCGTACGACTCCCCCCCAAACACAAACATCATTTGATATACGTCCCCCGCATTTCCCATGCGCCCGGCGATCGCTTATGCTACTGCCCGACGAGCCATTCGTCATCGTGGAGTTCATAACTAACAATGTCTTCATTTCTATAGACCCCAGCCTTCGTACGGCGGTGGCTACCCGCAAGGCCAACCTTCTCCTCAGCCGCCATTTGGCTACCAACAACAGCCTCCCCAACAGCAGTATTATTCAGGGCCTCCTCCTCAACAGCAGCAGTACGGGGGCCACTACCAGCAAGGACCCCCCCAGCCTAATTACGGTTCGCGACCTGGTATGTTACACATCATGCGCTCCTCGACCGACTTGTACAGTACCAGCTAACTCTACCAGGCGGGGGGCCCGCTCCTCCTCCTACAGCACCTCAGCAATTCGGTCATGGCGCTCCCAATAGCTACAACTTCAGATACTCGAACTGCACCGGCAGGAGAAAAGCTCTTCTTATCGGAATCAACTACTTCAACCAGCGTGGACAGCTCCGCGGCTGTATCAACGATGTCCGTAACATGACTGCTTATCTTTCCGAGCACTTCGGCTACAAGCGCGAGGATATGGTGATCCTTACCGATGATCAGCAAAATCCCATGAGCCAGCCAACCAAACAAAATATTCTTCGAGCTATGCATTGGCTAGTGAAAGATGCTCGACCTAATGATTCCTTATTCTTTCACTACTCAGGTACGAATTATGCTTTGGAACCCCGAGCTTCCCCAAGCTCCAAGGCCTTTACTAACAGTCGCAGGCCATGGTGGACAGACAAAGGATCTTGACGGCGACGAAGACGATGGCTACGACGAAGTCATTTACCCTGTCGACTTCAGACAGACCGGTCACATCACCGATGACGAGATGCACCGCATCATGGTTCGCCCCC